CACTTCACAATCTTCTCGCCGACGGGAGGGCGGAGGCTTTACAAAAAAATCCTCATCTGTAAATACAATGCATGTTGATAATGGAGGTAGATAGATACATAGGGGTTTTCATGCCAAATCATAGTAAATAATATAAGATGTAAATAATATAAGATTCATAATTAACAGGTACTTGACATGATATCAAAACTCTAGATAACCGAGGGGTATTGTGTTCAGCAATGTTTGATAAACCAGCGGTCCAACAAAAAAAAAGCCTATTTAAGCTCAAATCGGTATAGGATTTTACCGGTATAAACGGGTTAAATCACGAGTTAAACCCAAAATATTCTACTATATATTGAATTATCTGATACCAACCTCTGGTAAAATTTTTACAAATCCTTGGTGTTTGAATCTTGATGACTTACAGTTTTAAGAATATGGTAATCGATCGGAGCTTCAAATTCACAAATTGAATTTCGTTGGTGGGGTGTGTTAGTAAATGATATAAAATTCATAATTGAACCATATTTCAAGAACTCAAATTATATGGAAATCAAGTTGTTGTTGACAACAACAACAACAACAGTGGGCGTATAGTATTTATTACCTCATATTTTATTGAAAGAAATAAAAGCTCGGCATCTTAAACTTCTGAACTGTATTTTTCCAAGCTTGAGTTTATTAACTAATGACAAGGCATGGATGATGGATATGTGGAAACTTTAAGGGTTCGTTTGGATGTGTAAATTTTAAAACGTGGAAATTTGTCTGAATTTCCATGTTGTACAAAACCAAGAAATTGATTTGTGGAAATTGAAAAAAAATTCACGTTTGGATAGGGTTTAGTTTTGTGGGAATTGATGGTGTGGAATTTGGAAAAAGAAGTAAGAAAACGTGGTAATGTCAAATTACTAGGGGGAGGTGTAGTATTCTCAATTACCATGAATGTGGTAATTGAAGCCAATTTCCATGGTCCAATTTCTATACCATTTTTGCTCTCCCAAACATGGATTTTTAACCCAATTACTACGTTATGTGGTAATTGGATCCAATTACTGCATTACATTTCCACATCCAAATGACCCCTAAATTAACTTTGTAGGCATTCGACTAAGAGGCATGTGATCAAAGAGCATGAAGAAATTTCCAATTTGAGTATCGTGCTAATGTTTTGAAGGTGTGCAGTGCTGACCAATCACTGGTGGATTTTAGCAAGTTTGGGGAATCAAAACCCTAGATCTTGTAATGGGCAACTCTAGTAACTAATTCACTGTCTATGTTGGTTTGAGTGAAGTAGAGAAAAACAAAAGAGAGAAATGTTGGGAAGCCACGCATGCACGACAGTGACTGCAGAGAGAGAGAAAGAATGACATTTGGGGAAGGTGCAACTGTGGGAAGGGGCACAGGGTCCCGAGATATAAGCAGCTACTAATAAATTTCAGGTTCAGAGCCACTGCAGATCGATGAACACAGCGGCTTACTTACTGGTAATGTGAATCAACAACAAAGAAGAGATCGAGGGGGATAAATTCCAGCACATGAAACAGGCAGCGACAGTGTCCATATGTTGTATACCTACTACTATTACTGCCTGCCTGCGCCTCTGACTGACAGATGAGAGAAAAATTATAACCTCATCCTTCTCGAAATGCGTTCCCTATATATATATATATATATATATAGGTGGAGTTGGCTTATTTCAATATTGGGAGAGAGTGATAGCTACCTAGATACAGAGGTGGAGTTGGTCCTCTCCTCTCGAGAGCATGCAATAATAGCTGGATCCACCCCTAGGGTTGTTGGTTTCGTTTCGGTTTTTCGGTTTTAACATAAACGTAATCAATATAAATTTTTTTTTTGTGATTTTGGTTTTTCGGGTTTAAACCGTTTAGTATTATAGTACTTAGTGGTTTGGTAATTAACCAAACCCAAACTGACATTGCTATGCCCTAAAGAGCTGTCGAATCATTGATAATATTACATGGTGCTACTCCCTATACATTCGACAACTTGTCCAACTTCAAATTGGTATCATCAAAACAGAAAAAAATACATCTTAGCTTATAATAGTTGTTTGGTTTTCATGCATTGCATCTGGTCAAGAAACTTAACTAGACAGAGTACGTAAATGTGTATTATATCAACATTTCGGCCTTCAAAAATAACATTAACAGGATGTAAAAGAAAAGAAATAATCTATAAAATTTATAGCAAGTTTTCGTTTCTTCTAATCACTCAGATTTATTGAGATTAATTTATTTGTGTTGTCAATACAGTCAACATTAAATTGGGCAGGACAAGCTAAAAGTGATTGATTTCACTTTATTAGTGAATAAATTGGATTTATTCGTAAGGGGGTCGTTTGCTTGAGGGTTTTGGTGATGGATTTGGTCATGAAAATATATCCATCATGGACTTGAACCGAAATCCATCTTTTGCCTTAGGGAATTAGGGAGATGTAATTTGTGGGGCCCACCACTTTTGGAGTTCCAAATCCGTGGACCCCACGGACTTGGAAGTTCCACCTCTTGAGGTGGGATTTGGGTGATGGATTAAAATTCATGATGGTAAATTACCTTTCTACCCTTAAATTATTTCTTTAATTACAAATTTTTCCTACTTTAATTCAATGGTCATGCAACTGTAAACTTTTATAATTTTGTATTTTATAAATATGAGAATTTATCATTTCATTTTGTAATATCGTATTTTATTTAAATATGAATGTATATGTGATTTGTTAGATTCACCTAGAAACACTTTATGCTCATCTTGTACATTATTATTTGATTGATTGTCGGATTCCACATCGGTGAGTTAGCAAGAAGATGATGAGTTGTAGCTATAAAGCGAGCAATTGGCTGCAATTGATACATAATATTGCGTAATTTGTATTTAATATCCATAAATCTAATCAAACAAAGTCCATAATCAAATCCATCCAGCAAACAATAGATTTGTTCAAATCCATAATGCCACCAAATCCATCATATATCCATGATTTTCCAAAACCCAAATTTTATCAAAACCCTCATTTTTCAAATCTACGAAGCAAACGACCCGTAAATGTAGTGTGTAACACACTCCGAACGCCGTTCAGATCATTGACCAAGTGTACATCCTAACGGCACTGGGTTCTCAGTTCTCACCGCCAAGTGGGGACAACTAATTAATTAAAAATGTCTGCTTTCTTTTCAATTTTTTAATTCGGCTCATTTATACATTACGGACAGGGAGGGAGAAACGGAGTCTTGTGAGGTCTCTGACACCTGTCATGTGATTGTGGGGTTTCGGCTAAGGTTTCCTTTTCCCCCTTCAATATTATAATTTTGAGGGAAAATTAAAATAATTTTATATATTAATCAACAATAATCAATATGATGCACAGAAGAAGAAGAAACAAAAAAAAATAAAAATAAATAAACAATAACCATATGAAGGTATATTTACTTAAGTTAAAAAGAGAAGCGAAAATAATAATCAATATTCCCCCTCCACCATGATCAAACACTCAATGCCAAGAGCAGAGAGAGCTGCTGCTGCGTATGCTTTCCTTTCTGTGTAAATGAGTTGGTAATTCTGTAGATAGATAGATCTGAAGGCTTTGATGGTAGCCCTTTTGCGACCATTTATTCTATATTTCTATAATATTTTATCCCCTCCTCCTTAATGCTTCCATTTTCGGTAAGGTTTGACTCTTATCACTGCAACGTTTTCTTACCGTCACATCCCAAATCCTCAATAATATATAGCCTTTACATCAGTTTGCTCCAAGTTTTTCAACTCGTCGCGGGTTGACTCGGACTCGATGGAACTAGTGAGTTAAGAGTTAATGGGTCACTCATTTTAGTTCGGTTTAACTCGAAAATATGGAAAGAGTCATTATATTGTATTTATCCTGATAAATTATATCAGATCTCAACTAACATATGAGTTATAACATATAATATTCCACCAAAATAACATATCGTACTTAGATCCAACATATAGTGAAAATTCACATACACTTATATAACATATATATTCAAATGTTCAACTTAGAATTCCAAATATGGAGTTAGGCGAAAAGAAAATTCAGAAAATAGGCGCATTCGCAAACCAAAGAAAAAATGACACAATTTGACCTCCAACCTGGTACCTTATAGCGGTCGACCCGATGGATTCGTGCGACCCGTTTTTCTCGCCGGGCCAGAGTCAAAGTGGGTGGACCTGAGGTTGACAACCTTGTTTGCTAAAAAAACAAGTTTCTACGCATCCTTCGACCAGGTTTACTTATCGGATTGTTAAGAAATTAATATCTAATGCCGATTAAATGTAAATATAAACTAAACTAGTATTGGTGACTTAATTGGCGTAGCCAACTCAATTACACGTGAGCTAATCATTATCAAGTATCAACGAAACCCATGCATGCATATAATTAATTAGCAGAGCCACTCCAGCTTATCAGTAAACTATTGCAAAATTAGAGCCTAGCTAGTAATTGATTAGTTCTCTCTCCCACTCTCTCTAATCTCCAACATCCACACCTACCGCCATGAACAAACCTCCAAAACTTAAAACAACAAAAACTCACCACCAGAATTAAAAATATCAATGTCATCATTCCTCCCAACAAAACAACAAGGTATCATTCTATTATTTTCAAATAAAAATAATAATAAAATTTATTACTACTATCATAACAATAATAGTAAAATATTATCTTCTTGCAGAAGATAGCAAAACTCCACTTGTTAATTAACTATTCAATATATACATATTAACCTTACATATATTATTTTCACAATATATATATTGGAGGTAGCATAGCATGACGGCATCTTCTTCCCTAATACCTTTAATTTCCCACCTCCCAACACTTTCTATTTCTGCCTTTGCTCAGTTCCTTCTCCATACCCTTAACACACACTCTCTACTACTGATCTCTCTATCTATCTCCATTACCACTGCAGAAAATAGCATAGCCACAGCACTCTCCATCCCTCTGCTCTAAAAGGAAACAAAAAAGACACATGGAAATCGATCACTTGAAGTACTCCTCCTCCTCCTCATCACCTTCCACCGACGCCGACGACCAATCAATGCTCATCATGATCAACAAACAACAACATCTCCCGGACTACTTCTACTCATCGGAATTCCCCGTTTTACCCTCCGACGACTTCCCCGCCGGTGCAACTCCCTACCCACATTTCCTCCACCACAGCAACGACCCTTCAACGTTTCCTTCCACCACCCTATCCTTCTCCCCCAATAACGACGACCACCAACCCGTCTCATGGCGGGATCTCATGACCGCCGAGGCCGCAGCCGCCGGCGGCGGCGGCGCTCATCACAACGGCGGGATGATGCAGAAGAAGGCGTCGATGGCGGCGATGAGGGAGATGATATTCCGCATCGCCGCCATGCAGCCGGTCCACATCGACCCGGAGGCCGTCAAGCCGCCCAAGCGGCGGAACGTGAGGATCTCCAAGGACCCGCAGAGCGTGGCGGCGCGTCACCGCCGGGAGAGGATCAGCGAGAGGATAAGGATCCTCCAGCGGCTGGTTCCCGGCGGGACGAAGATGGACACGGCGTCGATGCTCGACGAGGCCATTCACTACGTCAAGTTCCTGAAGAGCCAGGTGCAGTCCCTGGAGAGATCAGCTCGGCCGCCGCCGCCGGCGGAGGGGATGCACGCGCCGGGTGGCGGTGGTGGTGGTGGGATTGGATTCCCTGTGGCCATGGCCAGCGGGAGTTATTGTGGTGTCGTGGGGAAAGGTGGTGGTGGTGGTTATCATCAGACGACGTCGCAGCAAGATATTCCACACTACGGGGATGCTTAATTTGGCTGGGATAAGATTTACGTACGTACATTAGTCGTTGATTAAGGTTTTCCCTTGTGATAATAATAATAATAATGATTAACCTTCTTTGTGGGGACCGTGCCAACTTGGTAGAGGGTGGCCAATTGTTAGGCTCCACGTGTGAGATATATGAATGCATGGGAGAAGTATTATTATTGGTGGGATATATATTATCTTGACTGTATGATTAACGAGGTGAATAAATTAAATGCAGCATATATATTCCTTTGATTGCAAGAAAAGGGAACCCCGAGGTCGATCTTAACCTTGTTTTCATGAAAAGCTTGTTTATGGTTATCCGTTCGACAAGTTCCGATGCTCATCATCTCCCGCATAAGTTGACGTTATTAATGTTGGTTCTACTGTTAGAGTGGCGTAGTCATCCATATAAATAATTTATTATGTGTTTTCGTGATTCGTCTATTGATTTTCATTTGAAGATGGAGAATTCAAAAGTTAACATAGATATTAGTTAATTCAGGATAAACAATTAAACACACAGTTCTATGTAAAGTCTATAATTATTTATATAATATGTAAGGTTAATGTTTGCTACAAATTTCTCAAAAGTTTGTTGGTAGATAAATAAAAAAAATAGTGAACATCAGCCGTTGGGTTTGAGTACAATGAATTGTATACAAAATATTGTTATTTTCTATGTTATAATTTCAAGTCAAAGTGGGTTACGAGTTCCAACCTCTTGCAAAACTGGTTTTGTCACTGGCTATTATATTTCAATCTGAAAATCTCAAATTCTGAATCCATAAATCTTCACAAAAGAATCCATTCAATTTTAGGCAAATTACAGGATCTGCCAGTGGTGGGGAAACACAAAAGGCTACACTGTGGGTTGGCAGATCGCTGGAAGACTGGCAGCAATATTGTTGTACAGCGGGAAAGAGACCTTTTATTAGGCCGAAAACACAATCCTCGTCAATTGGTTTCTTTACAGATAAGACTGGCGCCCTGAAGAAGATGATTATGGTATTGGACTATTGGTACTGCAGGCCAGGCGGCCACTTGTGAAATTCTCTGATTCTGAAGCTAGCTGGCCGATACGATACAGGTACATATATATTTTTATTTTCCGGTGACAGGCGCAGGTGGGCGCTGGGGCTTCTGGGGAAAGAAAGATCTCAACGGAAAGCTGGCCGGTGATATAATGCCTGCCTTCAGAGCGTCGGACGGGTCGGGTCGGGTCGGAATTGGAAAAAGGGGAAGCCTATAATAGCATGAGATGTCCACGTGAACGTCTGACAAACGCGGTGCCCCGGGAAAATTATTTCTACCTCCACGTGGCGGTGTTGATGACGCCGCCGTCCGTCCCACGCCTTCACACGTGACGCTCATACCCGATTGGTCGTCCCCTTCCCGAGCTCAGTACTTACGTGGCACTCCACGTCATCCGGGCCTCTGGCTGGCGTGGCTTCATTAATTACCTTCCGCCCGCCGCGCCTGGGAGACCTTGGGGTCGGGCCTCCGCCGATTAGTTAGCACCTTAGGACTAAAGATATTATGGTCTTGGAACTTGATATAGTCAATAATTCGTTCAAGTTAGGTTGACCGAAATATTATGAGTATTGCTTTTGTAAATAGATGCAAACACAACTTATTATTCATTCTTAATCAAATTGGATTAGTAGATTATTTTAAAATAGCATATTTGAAAAGTTCGTAAAATTTATACATAGTCGAGTAACTAAACAAAACATTAGTACGTGGAAAGCCATAAAGACATAAGGTTTAAGATTACTCCTACCAAGTATGTTATCTACACACTTATTGCCCTCTCTCTATATATGAGAGAGAATCACCCCATATATCTCTTTAAATTATTAGGAACCCGTGACGAGTAATTTAATTGCGTACTAGTGTTTATTCCACTTGGGGTTTTCAACCAAGGCCTGGCAGGCACCCTCCATCTCACTGGGCAGGCCGGCTGCTCAGACTGAGAGGATTTCAGCTCAAGTCCAGTGGCACGCACCTAGTAGAGGGTGGCTAAAGCTGAACATCGACGGCGCGTCGGCAGGTAACCCAGGCATGGCGGGAGCTGGCGGTGTTATTAGAGACGAGAATGGGAATTGGATTGCAGGTTTTGTAGCAAAGATTGGCGAGGCTACGGCAGCTCAGGCCGAGCTATGGGCGTTTCACCATGGTTTGAACCTAGCTTGGAAGCTGAGATGTGAGAACTTGATAGTCGAGACCGACTCTCAGCTGGCTATTCAGCTGATCACTAATCGGCGAGACCCTATTCATCCGTATGCTGCGCTTTTGGAGTCTATCAGGAGGAAGCTTGATCAAGACTGGCTAGTTAGAGTCGTTCATACATACCGAGAAGGGAATAGAGTCGCGGACTGGCTCTCGAAGCACAGTCTCGTCTATCCCTACGGTATGCATGAACTCTCTAACCCGCCAAGGGAGCTTCGACCGATTCTTCGAGATGATTATATGAGTGTCTCTTTTGAGCGCCAGATTGTGGTGACTCCTGCTCTGTAACTCTCCCCTCCCTACTCTTTCTTGGCTGTCGCCTCCCTTTAAGCAAAAAAAAAAAACCAATTCAACCAACAGCGTGTGAACCCACCTGAACTTCCACATGCTAATGTCCAACAAACCAAGCGAACTAAACGACCTTCTGCAACGCCTCTCAACTCTGCTTGGATAATGAAGAAAATATTCAGATTCAACACAAACACATAGCAAGCTCTTTAGCTATCTCTTGACAAGCCGTTTACTGAGTGACCTATGTCGAGATTAACAGAGCTGTTGAAGTTGAAAATGACCGTAGGATTGATACCCTAGGAATATAGGGATGATATCCCTCAACTCTCATCGTCACTCCCTTACAGCCTGTTTGGATACAATTCCATAAGAAATGGAAATGGATTTCCATTCCAAATTCTAACTTTTATGGAATTCCATTTCCAATATTTGTGTTTGGCATAATTCCAAGAACTATGGAAATGAATTGTATTCTTTAACAATCATTAATGATTTAGTAGATTTTTTTATCTTGAGAAATGAAATATGGATGAGAGAGAAAGAGAGAAATAAGATAGTGGAATTATAAAATAATAATAAATATGAATGGGTCCCACTAATTCCATCTCCATAAACCCAATTCCTATCACTTTTGATAGGAATTCTAATTTCCAATATTTTAGTCAAATGGAATTCATTTCCCAACCTTCTTACCATTCCAAACATGAAATAATGAAATAGAATTGGAAATGGAATTCCAATTCCTGAGTTTTTTGTCCATCCAAACAGGCCGTTAATGTCGTCCATGGGGCACTACTGATGTCAGTAAAGCAAATCTGTGGTGGTGGGATAGGAAGAGATTAGGTTTGGTGAGAGGTGGGATTTGCTTCCTAATAATGGGAAGGATATGGAATTTGAGGGGCAAGTTCAATGCATGCTTCTATCTCAGCCATCATTGCTATATCATGCCTCTCCACCCAACAACATGAACCCGCCCATTTTTTTTATATCCTTCCTCGCCTACCCTAAATCATAACCAGGCAGCCGCGGCTCACATTATACACAACAAATAGAATTAAGAAAGCAACACATTTAAGATTTTTCTAGAAGTTTAGGCTAAAAAGCAAAACCACGTACACTCATCATATTGGTTGTCTTGTTAATAATACAAATGAGCATGTCCTAGAATTTCTGGTTGACATCATTATTAGGCAAAAATATTTTGAATATTTACTAGAAAAATATTTTGAATATAATCCCGTATGCTGAAACTATCAATCATCTTTATATTTTCTCAATCTCCTAAACATGACAACACTGAGAATGCTAGATGTAAACTTATATCCAATGCAGTGAAAAGCTTAATTTTACATAGTATCCTTCGGTGATCTAGAAGCGTAAACCCATAAACTTTTAAATTTAAAAGTATTGATTTTCATTACACTTGTAACCAGTGCTGTTAAAACAGGACTGGACCCGCCGGTCTGACCAGTAGAACCGCCATCCGCCCTCTAACTCGGTTCGGTGAGGCTATTTAACCATCACGGTCCAATCTTCTGATTTGTACGCAAACCGGCCGGTTGAACCGGGCTAGCCATTCGAACCGCTCAACCGGTTTTGACGGTCGGAATCCTATTTGACCAAATTCAAAATTTGCACAAATGTGAGAGAGCTGGGATATGAACTCAGCATCTCTTGGTGACAACTCAGGCCTTCTACCAATAGGTTTGGCCCTATTTTTGTGAAACCAAAGCCAATAAATAGTTTTATCACTCATTACGCGGTGTTTAATTTTTAAAAATCACAACTTCTATGCTTAAATAATTTATATTTATGTAGAATGATAATCTTTACTTGCCATATATAATTTTCTGTTAGGAATATATTAGAATCAATATATAATTATAGTACTATTAATGGTTTCTACTTATAATAATTTTATTTATTTTATTTATTAAATACCGATTCGTTAACGTGTTTATAGCGACTTAGTATCGGTTAAACCAGTAAAGTGCGAACCACTTACTATACCACTTCGGTTATGACAACATTGCTTATAACTGAGAAACACGATTCTACTTATGACTTAAAAATATCAAAATGTAAGTTTTCACCTCAAAAGTACAATTTTAACTACATTACTTATACCCAGAGAATTTGTATACCGACAAAATGGAGAATAATGTTGTGTGCAACTGCAAATAAATATAGATTTCCTCCATGCATGAACAAGAACAAGGGATGGTCAAAGAAGGCACCCGATGCCATGTGAGGGTTTTCCACTAATGAAAGGATCCAACATCCCAATATTCAGAGATGGGTTTCCTTCCCCGTCTGAGATGAGATGAGATGAGGAGGTACGCGACCTCTTGTCCTACGAATAAAGGGCATGCTCCCTTTACTGCTAGCTACCGCAAATGCACTGTACTGTATTCCCTTCGCATAATAATACCTTTGCATTTATTATTACGCCAAAACAGCACGATTTGTATTGCTCTAAC